TAACGGGAAGTGCAGGTATGCGACAGGGAGGCTGCCGGCAGCCGGCACTAGGGTGCCAGGGGACCCGCGTGGCTTCTAGGGCTGCCACGTGGACACTGCTTCCGAGCGCCGCGGATGGTCCTGCTCTGCCCCACACTCGCTCTGTCCGACGTCTTTGGGGCTGTGGGGAAACTGGAAGGGATCTCAAGGCTGCCAGACCACAGCCTCCCAGTCAGAACCAGCTGGGGGCTGCAGGGGGCGCCGTTCTGGCTAATAACGGTAACGGCCACAAAGGAGCCGCCCTCAGGCCCCAGCTCCCCGCCTCTCCCCGAGGGCGCGAACCTGGACGGCAGACGGGAGTAGCCGTCCACCCCAGTCCCCACTCCCGCCCCCCGCCCCGCGGGGCCCCAGCCCCAAGAAGCTACAAAGCCAGGGGTGAAGTCATGCGAGGCCAGCCTGTGACCTCGGTCTCCTCCTCAGGGCCTGGGAGCTCCCGAGTCCCCAGAGTTACTGCCAGAGCAGCCAGTGAAGGCCCACACGCACCTGCCGGGTCCCCGCACCGACAAGCACCGTGACCCCGTGGCAGGCCCAGAGGACACACGGAGGATGCACACGTAGAACACCCCGCCCTCCCCCTGCGCTCGGGCCTCACGGTCCCCGTGTCCCCCCAGAGCCCTGCGGGCGAGGGATGAGGCCGGTGCGGAGGGAGGGCGCGGACTCTGAGCACAGTGCTGAGACGCAGCCCCAGGACGGCCAGCTGGTTGGCCGGGGACACAGCAACGCAGCCGCGGGACCGCCCTGCGCCCCACTCGCGCACCCTGGGAAAGGGTTTCCAGCAGGCAATTTGCATAATACTCTTTGCAAGTTAATATCAGCCTCTGATAATGATCTCAGCATAGCGTGGAGCTGAGGCGGCTGTTACAACACTAAGTAATCATATTTTAAATTATGTTTCCCTTTATAGAAAGGTGTTGCAGAAACACACAGACGTGAAATCTGTTGCAGCCCCACTGCCAACCACCTGACCAGGTTCCCGGCGTGACGGCTGTGACTGCGGCTCTGGGGCCTGACACCCTGGGCCGCCCCAGGCTCCCGCCGGCTCCAGCCTCGCCAGGGCCAGGGGGCCCTTCCCGGCAGGGGCACTGCTCAGGCGGGGACCTGTCCGGCTCCAGCCACCATCAAGGACGAGTCTGTGCAGAGAAGTCCACGGGGTCCCGACTGCCCTGGGAAGGGGCAAGGAGGGCTCCCCCTTCTGCCATACCAGCCTCATGCTGGAAACCCCTGTGCCCACGAAGCCAGATGTTCACGAGACACACGGGCGGCAGAGTCCTGAGAACACAAGGCTTCAGGCTGGGGCTCTGCCTGAATGGCCGGGACAAACGGAGGGCCTGGCCAGGGGCGCCCCTCGCCGTGCGCCCTGCGCCTGCTCATTTCCAATGTGGCACCTCCCAGAGTCAGGGAGACGACCCTGGCAGGTGACCGGGGGCCACAGCAGGGGCAGGGCCCACGCGGACAGGGCAGTGGGCACCGGTAGGAAAGAGGAGGCGGGCGCTGGAGGGGGCGGGGCCACGATGCGGAGCCCTGCCCCCCAGAGGAGGGGGGCACAGAGGAGTGGACGCGCTCCCCTCGCATTCTCTGCATTTAAGGAGCCAGACCACTACTCGACCTCTATTTTCTTAAAAGCTTTTTTTTTCTTTTTTATTAAAAAAAATCCAATTATAGCACAAATCTCTCAGCAGGGGTCAGTGTGGAATAAGAATAGCCACAGTTAATGGACGTGACAGAGGCGAGATGAACGCCTTAAGGGTTTCAAAAGTTGTGTGATGCAGATTTCATTAACATTTTAATTGTAATGTATCTTTTTAATCTTCTCTCACCCTAATGGCTTTATACCCCCCCCAAAAAAGGGAAGAAAAAACTGCTGACAACAACAAAAAGTATCAACATACAGAATTTAACAAAGGCCTTGGCAGCTGAACGGAAACCAACTGAAAGGAGCAAAACCGTGTTACCGTTGTGATTTTCTAACAGCCCCGAAATCTGACGCAGCCGAGGCAGTCGCGCCCCGCCCCCACCCCGCAGACAGGGACAGACAGGGACAGGCACGGACACAGCGAGGGCCAGGGCCTGAGAACACCCAGGACCACTTCGTTCTGCTCTTGTGGGGATGTGGAGGGCGCTCCCGCCAAAGACCCCAACAGCCCCCGCCTCCTCCCCACTGGCGGACTCCGGAAAATACTAGCCATCGGGGCAGAAGCCCCCCCCACACCGCGGGGACGGGGAGGGGAGACCCAGAGGTGCCCCGCAATGAGGGGCATCCACTAGGCCTGTAGACAGACAGGCAGGCTCCTCAGGGAGGGTTCCAGAGGGCTCTGGGCAGTGTTACCGCCTCCAGTTTCCAAAGGTACTGTCTCCGGACTTACGCTCAGCCCTGACTACCAAGGGCCTAGATTTTTATTTTCAATCAACAAACACACCAGGAGCACCAAGCCTGTGCCTGCTGCCGCCTGACCCTTCGGCCCAGATCCAGCTGCCCGCAGGAGCACCCCCTCAGGGACCCAGCGGCTGGGCCCGGACACGGCCAGGCTCATTGCTCACCCCAGTGACTATATATGGACACTTTCAGGCCCCTTCGGTCCCCGCCCCCAGCCCTGCCTGCTTTCCAGGCACTGGGCAGGCGCTGGGCAGGCGCTGGGCGGGGCTCAGGAGCTCCCCAGCCCATCCATGGCCATGTGCCCTCCTGGATGCCAGGGCCCAGGGCCGCGGGGGAGGGGCAAGATTCCTTCGGAGACCTGGAGCCAGCCTCCACTCCCCATGGGGCCAGAGAAGCCGTCCCAGAGAAAAGTATGCTCCCACCCTCCCTGGAGACGGAGAAGCAGCTGCCCCTTAAAGGGGCCTGCACCCCTCACTGGCCCCTGCCCCCTTCCTGGGAGAGGGCATCTTCAAGGGGGCCCCTAGGCCAAGCCCATCCTGCAAAGAGGCTCCGGGCTAGGCCTGCTCACCGTCACCCTCTACTATGTAGCATCAAGGCGCCCAGGGCAGGGCTCAGAGAGGCCGAGTGACCCACCCAAGCTCACACAGCCTTGGGCCAGGTGGGCCCTGGGAGAGACTGTAGAGCTCCCCAGCCTGGGCTGCCTCCTTGCTGGCCACAGGCCCAGCCAGCAGCAGCTGGGGATGGGGCAGCGCCCAGCTTCCCTCTCGTTCCCTCTGCTCAGCACGCTCCCTGTCCTGGGGCACAATGGGTGCCCGCTGCTCTTGTCCTTGTGGGTGCCACCCCTACTCTGAGGATGCCGACCACAGGCCACCGGGGAGCCATGCTCTGAAGTTCGCATCCAGACACTCCCAGGCCCCTGTGTGCCCACCCCACCCTGCCCTGCGAGACCTGCGCCCACAGGGATACCTGCTGGGTTCCTGAGCCTGAACCTTAAAGACAAAGGCTAGGCGCTGGAGGAGGAAACCCAGCTCCCAGCAAGCCAGCAGCTGCAGGTGACAATGAGGGAACCTGGGGCCAGGGGCCAGCCCCCCTCCTCCTTCCCCCCCCCAGCACATTTGCTAATGATCTCATCCAGGGCCGGCTGGGGAGAGCAAGAACCTCTAAGAGAAACAGAGCGGCCAAGGTGGGCCGCTCCCTGCCCCGAGATGGCCAGTGGCTGAGGGCGTGACCTCTAGGCGCACCCTCCAGGGCTCCACAGCTCCAGAAGCACAGAAGGGGAAGGACCAGGTGGGGAGGGGCTGGGAGAGACAGAGAGCTCGTGGGGTGGGGGTGGAGCAGCCGAGGCGACACATTTCCCCGCTCCCACCCCTGAGTTCTAGCCTCCCCTGAAGGTACTGAGGCCAGACCCCCCCGCCCAGGGAGGACCAAGGGGGTGTCCTGCAGAGCGTGCCCAACCGGAGGAGGGTCCGGCTCCCCACCAGGCACCCAGGCTAGGGCGTGAGAGGCCCAAGCAAACCAGCCCTGATCAGCCCCCGTCAGACCCCAGACCCACAGACTGTACAAGCCCCTGCTCCCAGGAGTAAGGAGCTCTGGGTCTGGCGGGGGCCTGGCGGCCCCTGTTCCTGCCTGGGAAACGCCCCCCCCCACATAATGGCACCAAGGGGTTCTGCTCCCCCTCCAAGACCAGGCCTGGAAGCCAGCCCCTGGGGACAATGGCCACAGAGCCGAGCCAGGCCTGGGCAGCCAACTCTGCCACCTATGCCCGTTGCCAAGGCAAAGCCTCTGGGCCCCAGGAGAAACATGCTGGGGGGCCAGGTGGGCGGGGGGGGGGCTCTCCCCACACTGCCTCCTCCAGGGCAGCCGCTCCCACCCCTACAGCCCAAGGGTGCTCGGCCTTGGGGAGGGACACAGGACCGGCTGTCGGGGGTGGGGCGGAGGTCTGAGCCACGGTAGGCCCGGGCCGCAGGGCCTGCATCCTGTGCGGCTGGACCCCGGCTCCGCAGGCCCGGGAGCATGGCCCGGGGAAAGGAGGGCGGCATGGGGCCCTGGGCACATCCTTGGAGGGTCAACGTCACAGTGCTTACCTCCGTCCCAGGAGGGGCCTGGGGCCCGTCCCAGTCCACAACACAACCCTGGCAAGCAGGCCTCTGGAGGCAAAGGTCCAGGGGGAGCCAGGCTGAGGGGGCCATTGTCCCCGTCCCTCTTCTACGAACGACGCGCGCTCACGTTTTGGTTGAACATGTAAAGGTGTGAAGGATGCTGTATAAAGTCACCCCGGGGCCCACCGCCCCGAGGGGACCCTCTGAGCACGTGTCTACGACCAAGAACCTGGGGTTGCCCCGCACAGACGAGGGGCAGCCTGGCGTCTCAACGTCAGTTACCACCCCACGCTGCCCCCTCGTCACACATCCCGCGGGAGACTCCGAGCGGCTCCCGAGGGTGGACGCGGCGGCGCGGTATCCGACACCACGTCCAATGCCAGGCCCTCCCTGGGTGTGACCGCTGACAACAGATCTCCGGCCACCGAGCGGTGACAGTGATATCTTGCTCTACTTCTGTGATCCTTCCAGCCGACTCACCGACTCACCGAGACAGCGCGAGACAGCGCAGGACCAACCCCTCGGGTCTCGTCTTCTGTTTCCTTGGCTCAAGCGCTGGCTGAGGTGCCACCCAACAGTGGAATGACCCCCCCAGGAAACACCAACAGGAGGCGGCGAGGGACCACAGAGCCGGCTGGCGGGCTGCGGGGAGAAGAAAGGCCGTAGGCTGGAAGGTGGGCGGGGCGTGGGCTACCTGACCCTTCTCCTCTCCCCTGCTGCCAAGCCTCGTTTCCTCATCTGTAAAATGGAGCCAGCGCAGGAAGCTACCTCTCCCGGCGTCCTCGGGCACGTCTTACGGACCGACGACCGACGGACGGACGCACGCACAGGAGCACGCCCTGCAGCCCCCCACTGTGATGATCTCGACGAATGGGAGGCCCGAGACCCGGGCGAGACCACCGCAGACCCGGCAGGCATGCGCACAGGAAGCGGGAGAGGCGCGCTAGGGGGTGGGGCACAGGGGTGTGCTCCCAGGGTGCTCAGGGGGTGAAACCGGGAGGGCAGGAAGTTTGGTGCCCGGAGCCTCCCCTGCCAGCCCCAGCCCGCCCCCTTCCCTTCACACACAGGATGGACTTCGCTACAATGTGTCCGAAGACCAGGGCTGGGTCCCAGTGAGTCCCAAGAAATACCACTTAGAAAGGAGGAGCCAAACGCCCATGTGGGCAAAAACATTTCAGATCCGGAGGCCGAGAGATGGGGAGGGTAAGGGGGTGGGGGTGGAGGCCATGGTGGCTGTAGGAATGGCCCGAACCCAGCTCCAAGGAACCAACCGGCAACAAATCCACAGGTTTAAAGGGCACCAAGAGACCTGGCCAGCACCAGCCCCCAGACAAAACTTCGGAGGAGCCCAAGACAGAACCTGGAGGTGACCTCTGACCTCACGACCCCCCCCCCACACACACCACAACAGGCTTAGGACCCCTGCCCTGGCCAAGAGGTGTGAGCGGCAAGCTCAGAACTCACCTCAGAGCTTCCTGGAAGCCGGGGGGGCGGGGGGGGGGGGGGGCGGCGCGGAGGGGGACCGGGGGTACGGGGGCTGGGCCCCAAGTCTGCGGATGACAGGTGGGAACCCCTCCGGTGCAGCCCGCAGCCAGCCTCTCTCCAGGTTGGGGCAAACCTTCATATCCTCCCTCCCCAGATGGAGGTCCACAAGAAGAGGAAACCGGGGCAGCGATGCCCACGAAGGGGGCCCACGGGACACGGAAGGAAAGGCGCAAGGCCGGACTGATGCGCAGCCCCACGGCCGGCCTCGGACCCCCGCCCCGGAGAGAGGGGTGTGCCCTCCCACCCTGGCCCGGGCCCGACGCCTCTGGGCCTCCTGACCCCCCAAGGAATAGGCTCGATCCGCCTAGTCGCAGGGAGGGAGGGGGGAAGGGGGAACGAGTGTCCCGAAAAATCCGGCGGGAGGGGAGACGCCCAGGGCTGGGGTCTGCCCGGAGCGCCCTGCCTGGGGCCCCCGGTCGGTGGGACGGGGACGCGGCCCTGCTCGGCTCGGGGCGCCTCCCCAGGCCCCGGACCCCGCGGCCACCTCGGCCGGGCAGGCGCGCTGCGCGAACTTGGGCTGCGGGCCGGCAGCGGGCACTGCGGCAGCGCGCGCGGCCGGCGCCGCGGAGTTTGGGGAAGTGCGGCGGCGACCCTGGCGGCGGCACCAAGTTGGGCGTACCTGCGGGCGCCCGGCCCGGTCCGGCCTGCGGCAGCGGCGGCCGGCGGCAGGAAGTGCTCCGGCGTCCGCGCGCTCCGCTCACATGGACTTTCTCCGGCCTCGCCCAGCACCGGCCGCACCGTGGGGCGGGGCGCGCGGGGGAGGCGCGGCGGGCCGGTTAAAGGGACAGCGCGCCGGCCGCGCGCGCGCGCGCGCACTCGCCACCAGGTGGGCTCCTGGGAGGGGTGTCCCAGGGAGGGGGTGGCAACACTGGAGAGAAGGCGGGGAGGCTGGGCCGGGGAATCCCGGACGCGGGGGTCTGGGACTCAGCGAGAGGCGGCAGCTCTCCGCCACCCCCGCCCCCTGCGCGCAGCCTTCCCGAGCTCCGGGCGTCCGACCCTGCGCCGGGCACTCGGCCGGGGCCGGATGCGGAAGGGCAGAGGGCCGGGCGGCCGGGCAGATTAGGACAGCGGCGCCTACTCACACTCTCCGACCCTCCAACCCCCTCCACGGACCCGGGGAGCCCCGGAGCCACCCCCCTATCCCCGGCCCTGGAGCGCCCCTCCCCGCGGAGACCGCGTTTGCACCGAGCAGCCTGCAGGATGCGCCGCCAAGTGGGGCGGCCGGCCGGAAGGGGTGCGCGGCCTCCGCCGAGGCTGACACTAGGGTGGCCGGGAAAGCGAGGATGCGGGAGCGCCCTCGGGCGAACCGCGGGGCGCCGACGTCTCGTGCGCAGGGCAGAGAGCTGCGAGCTGCCGGGACGCGGCGGGCTCAGCCTTCAGGCCCCGTGTGATCCGGCCGCACGGGCTCAGTAGTGAACAGGCGTGCCGTTTTAAAACAAGTGCGCAGAAATAAAACCGCCCGTACACCTGAATGGACCCACAAACGCCACCCCCTTCACCCCTCCTTCCCGCTCAGTCGCCTCTACCCTACCGTGGGGCCTGGGGTCAGGACTGGCGGCAGCGGTCCTCCCAGGGCAGAGGCAGCCTGGCTCCCTCACCTCCACAGTTGCAAGAAAATGAGGTTGGCGCCCGGAGGGTGGTCCTCGGCATGGAGTCGCTAGGAAGAGGGAGTTAAGTGGAGAGCAAGAGGCCCGCCCACCCTCCCAGGCCATGTCCTGGGCCCCGTGGGGGTCAGAGGCCAAAGCCCTGCAGGGCAGTTAGCCAAGGTCATTCCTAGGACAATTGTCAAAGGCTTGGTCCAAGTATTCTTGTCCCCTGCCTCATACCAGGTCCTTGACCTTGGTCATACACGGACCTCCAACGCCAACTTGAACCTTCAAAGACTATGGCCATGCTCCCCAAACCCCACCTACACCTAAACACGGCCCCAGCCTCCTGGGCCACTTGCAAGCCCTCAGGGCAGTCTTCTGCTGGAGACACAGCCCAGGAGGTGCAAGGTGAGAGAGGCAGGTAAACGGCCCACCCAGAAGTGTGGCCTGCTCTGCCCAGGGGCCAGCAGAGGCTCTGGGTCCAGGTGGGAGAGGGCCGCACCTGGGCCTGGGCAGCTCAGCACCCTAGGGCTCCAGAGGCTCTTCCACCTGATTGGTCATCTCAGTGGTGCAAACCCCCCAGGCCCCTGGGAAATCGGTGGCTACAAACAGCAGGTGTGAGCAGGGACAGGCGGCGCTACCTGCTTCCAGCGCAGTGCTTAGGGGACAGGAAGCCATCCGCTCCCTGAGGTCCTCCCGTGGCCTGGCCCGGGCCACTGTGGCGGGAACCCACCCAAGGTCTGGAGGTGTGGCCGCTGGCCAGCAGCACGTGAGGACAGGGCGGGGTGGCTGGGGGGCCTGCGCACCTGCGGAGCTGGCCATGTATTTGTACACGGGGGCAGCTGTCATCACTCATTTTCTAAACATTAACAAACGTCTTCCTTAACGAAGGGCGTTTGCAAAATATTAAAGTATTTAGCAGACAACAGATAACCAGAAACCTGTCCCCCTGGGACAGTGGGGCTGGGTGCAGTTTCTGGGGGAGGGGGCGCGCTCAGGCCCTGCCCCGGCACGTTTTAAATGCTGATGCGCAGCTCCGGCTTCGGCTGCGTGTCCGTGTGCCTCACCTGACGTGATTTTTACAGGCCTCTCTTCTGATTCCTGTTTTACTGACCAGAAAGATGCAGCGGAGGCAGGAAATGCAGCCAGCTTGGGCGCGCTCGCTCAGGGCTCCTGGGCGGGTGGGCAGCCTGGCGAGGAGAAGACTTGAACCCGGGAAGGGTGGGGCCGAAAACCTCCTTCCCTTCATTTGATGTGTGATCATTTAGGCGTTGTGACCCGTCTGCCTGCTGCTGGCTGATAGGCAGGTCGTTGGCCACAGCCCCCTTTATTCAGAGGGCATCTGGGGGCGGGGGAACAGGGAAGTCACAAGAGATAAATCTGCTTATTGATGAGCCTCTAGGATGGGGTGTCAAGGCGGGGGCGCTGCGTGCCCTGGGAGCCATGGTTCGGCCTGTTCACCTGTCTGTCCTCCCCTGCATGGCAGATGCCTTTGGCGCCTTGTGGGGGACTGCTCCCCCAGGCCTGCGGGTGGCCCTGTGCTCAGTGGGGACCTGTCCTGTCGGGAAAGCCTTCCAGAGGCGGGAGCCGGAGGAAGACCGTCCTCTGGGGCTCCTGGTCCACACCAGTCCACCGAGACCCTCCCAGCCACACACCCCAGCTCCGCTGGCTCCACTTCTGTTCTCCTGGGCGCTGTGGGGCTCAGAGGTCCCATCCTCTGGCTGTGTCCCCAGGGCTCTGCGTGTGGCGCAGGGACGCACGGATCCTCACCCTGGACGCAGCCGGTCGGGTCTGCGTGCAGCCGGCATCCGTTCTGGGAAGAGGCTCACGTCCCCGTCCGAGGCTCATCGCGGGCCTGCCAGGGCTCACTCGGCCAGCTGCTGCCTCAGCCTGTCCCCCTGGGTGGTTCATGGCCGTCTCACATGCAACGCGGCCACACACAGCCCCTCACGGCGGCCCCAACCTGTCCTCCCACCCCCTCCGCAGCAGATGGCCACTGGTCCTGGAACCCCCGTTCCTCCAGCCGCCGGCCCGCCACCTTGGGCTTCTTCTCATCCCCTTTCTCACACTCCAGATCCAATCTGTCCTCAGCCTGACAGCTCCGCCTTAGCGCTGTGTCAAGAGTGACAGCGTCTCAGCGCTCCGAGCCCAGCCCCCTCCTTGGGTTACTGCGGCAGGGGTCCTGGCTGCCGGCTGGAGAAGGAGGTTCTATCAGGCCCACTGGGGGCCCAGGGAGGATTGAGGGGCTTGGACTGGATCTGGAGGCGGGGTGCTGAGGGCCCAGGGCCACCTGTGCGATGGGGGAGCCTGCCAGGTCGCTCCTGCGCGGGAAGCTCACCTGGCTCCCAGGGGGGGCGGCTGCTCCGGACACTGGGGGGGGGGCCTGTTAGCTGCCCACAGAGCTGCCCCTCCTGCGGCCCCATGGGGAGGGTGCCCTGGGCCTTTGACTCATGGTTGACAAACAGGCAGCTGGGTGCCTGTTCA